AGGAATTCATGAATGCAACAGGATTTTCTGGCATGCACCTGAGATCCAATGAAAAGTTAAGTTATCATCCCACAGTCTTCATGGAAAACCCTACAGCTAGCATAAAGCACAGATACTGCTAACAAATTCTTCCTGTTCCTATTTCAAACCCTGGAAAAAACACAGCATTAGATATGTGGCAATGGTGAGAGTCATGCAGTGCTCACAAACACAATCAGAGAGATCACCACTACCTGGAGGGTCTGGACTTGCTGGCCTGAGGCGGATGCCACCTGGGCCTCAGTCTGCAACTGGACAGCAGTGACACCACCCTGCTGCTGGGAATAGGAACAGGAATAGCTTGAAACATGGAAATGCACAGCTCTGACAAGAGACAACGACACTTTGCTGGAAGAGGGTGAATTTAAAATTCATACACATTGCTCTTGGAGCATCTGGAATGTGAATACGTTTAGCAAACCTCAGAATGGAATATCAACAAAACAGGGTCAATATCCCAAACAAAAATCACTTACAAAGAATGGGAGAGATTATTTTGCAGAATTTAAAACCTCAGCTTCAGTGTTTTAAGCTGCTATCTTTCTGCTTAATGTTGTTTCCTTTCACTGCCCAAGTTTCTTTGTGTGAAGGGGTTCCAGATTTTTTTCAGACTTGTTAGTTTCCATAAAGGCCATAAATTCCTTTCTGCTCAGAAGAGCAGCACAGATGGCTACAGTCTAAACTTCCTCTATGTCACCCCTGCATCAGTGTCTTCACCACTGACCTTCAAGGACAATCTTGAGAGGTTGCAAGAGCAGTTAAACCTAAAAGCCTTTTCTATCTTTAGCCTCTTTAGTAAGAGTCCCAAAATAATCTGTGTTAACTGTGGTAGCATTTGGGAGATGAAGGACATCTCTCTACTAAAAGTTGTACTACAACAGGCCTGATAAAAGATTTTATTTTAGAAAAACATTTCATGTCAAATAGAACACAGGCTTTAAGAGCACCTACTAAAAATTAAACAAGGTATGTTTTTACCTCCCTTTTACCTACAAAGTGTCAATAAAACCAAATATATCTTTGGTTATCTGCTGGAAGATTATTAAATTAATTATTAATTAGATTAATTAATTAGATTATTAATTATTAAAATAATTATCAATTATTTTTGATAATTCCTTATTTGTTATTTTTTAATCTCAAATACAATCTTCTTCTGGCTGAAAAAGTCACTGGTCCTTGCTATCAAACACTCAAATAGGCTGATGAGAAAGCAAAGCCTATCTGCCTGAAAACATAATCCAGTGGCTCATTGATTTGCCTGACAAACTAAGGAACTCCTCTTGCCTTGAATCAGAACAAACATAAGATGCAACAAAAATTCAGCACCAGCACAGCTCATCTGAAAATACATTACTGTATCTGAACGGGTGAAGCTCAGCAACAGTAAAAATCTGTAAGCCCTTAAAAAAAACCCCCAGTCCAACTCATCTGCACATTATAACATAAGAAACTTCTTTCTGGAATGGATGAATTCATCCAAAGTTACATATTTCGTTGCAATTCCTGTACTGTGTGTTCATTTTGACCCAGCTGTAGTTCTAAAACAAAGGATCTCAATAAATACTTCTGAGAAAGCTGGAGAAAACCTCTATGGGCTTGAACAAAACCTATTTCAATCTTGGGGGGAATCTACATTGTTCCTTGTGGACAACTGACTGTTTCTATTAAAATTCCGTTTCCTCCACTTTTAGAGAGGTTTTGTTACTTTCCTCATGTCACTGCAAGTTCCCTACTACACTCAAATTTGGCAAATTGTACACCTGTAATTTTATTAATTTAATTTTATGAGTATTTTTTTAAAATAACCATTTATTCTGATTCCAAGTCAAGTCCGTACACCTGTAATTTTATTAATTTAATTTTATAATGAGTATTTTTTTAAAACCAACATTAATTTGGATTCCAGGTCAGGTCTGATCACTGACCACTGATCAGGAGACAGAAATCAGGTAAACACATCTCCAGAGAGGATCATGAAGTATCTTGCTGGTTCTGTGAAACTCTGACAAGTACAAAAAGATTTGTACCTCCCCCCTGGTGATGCCAGCTCCCTCGTTATCCTTTCCCATACCTGCTGCTGAATCTGTCCAGCCTGCACCACGATCTGCTCTGTGGAACTGTTACTGTTCGCTGTGTACTGCTCCATAGCTCTTCAGTCCCACTACAGCAAAAGGCACAACTCAGTCTGTGTATCTGGCAAAAGAAGAGAAAACCAAAGCATGTGATTATTGTCCCAAGGTTTGAAGGTTAGTATTATCTTCCAGCACCTGAAAAGCAAACCATCTGCTGACACTGAGGTCAGATTCACACAGTAAGAGCTGCTGTTTCATCAAGGATCTACCTCTTTCATAATGTCACCTGACTTTCATGGAGTAACAAAACCAGAATTGTCATTTCAAGAACACGTAACTTGACTGAGAAGTAAAAAGCATCTCGATTCTGTCATTATCTTCAGTGAATCAAATAGCAGCTCTGAACCTGCTCCTCTTCCTGTTTTACCCCTCGAGTCTGTGTATTCTGGGCTGCAGGCAGTTGCCTACACTGCGTATGGGTGGAGGAGAGGAGTGTTATCACTTAAAAAACTCACAAAGTAACAAAGTTTAGGTGTAAATCCAAGCTACATTTCAAGGATTCAACAAAGCTATGTGAAATATATGGGGAAGGACTTTTCATAGGGGCAGTTAATAACAAAACAAGGGGAAATGGCTTTAAGATGAAAGAGGGGAGGTTTAGATTAGATATTAGGAAGAAATTCTTTGGTGTGAGGGTAGTGAGACACTGGCCCACGTCGGCCAGAGAAGTTGTGGCTGCTCCTCCCTGGAAGTGTTCTCGGCCAGGTTGGATGAGGCTTTGAGCAACCTGGTCTAGTGGAAGGTGTCCCTGCTGCTGGCAGGGGGGTTGGAACTGGATGAGCTTTAAGGTCCCTTCCAACCCAAACCATTCCATGATTCTATGAAACTGTCTCTCCTTCCCCAACTATGAAGCACTCCCTCCTCATCCTCCGTTCCTACTTTCACATATTTTGAAAATAGCCAGCACACTTCTCACCGCTTCCACCCTTTTCCTGCCTCTCCTTTCTTGGATCCTTGCCTACACATGTGAAGAACACACTGCTGAAATAAAACACTTAGTTCCATTATCTCCTTCTCCCTCACATTTCTCCTCAGTTGATCAACAAGGGAAGAATTCTTCCTATTAATGAGGTGTTTGATTTATGCTATGGCTGAACAATTATCTGCTACGTCAGTGAAAAAACCAGCCTAAAACTTTAATCTTTGAAGTCTAAAGGAAGAAAAAAAAACAGGTCCCTGCAGTTTCAAAGAAACACACACACAAAATTTATTCACAACTAACTGTAATTGGTGTTACTGTAATGACACCTCTCCCATTTCCTGCTCTTTAAAACATCCTTTGTACTTCACTGTCTTGCATTTATCTTCAGATCTTTCCTTTTTTCATCAACTTACTCCTCACTGTGACCTGAGAAAACACACCATGATTTTTACATTTTGTTGTTTTCTTGCACTTTGACTTAAAATGTCACTTACCTACAAAAATAAATGATTAACCAGCACGTCTCATGACAGCGTGCTTGTTACAGGGGGCATAACACTCACCCACAATAAAGTAAGAACCTTCTCAGTCCTTATCAGATCTTTTGTTCAGAGTGAGGATGTAATGACACTAACCCCAGAGATCACAATCTGAGTCAGGGCACCACATTTCACTGCAATTTTAATTCTATCCCCCATTTAGTAACACAGGTTTTTGATAGAGTAAAAGATACAATATTCTTTCTGAAGATGATGCTGTCTACCAAGGTTCTCATTTCAATTTTGCACTGTACACTTAATTTCTGCCCTAAACACCTGCAGGCCTGTCAGAAAACAGCTCCCACATGTTCATTCTTCAGGGCAGTGTTTCAATAGCGAGCACAGGATGCCTGTAAACCATGTTTGCCAAACATTTTCTGGCTTCCTTGAGGCCACAAGCAATAATCAAGCAGAGGTGTAACTGCACTTGGGAATGTTTCTTCACAGAGCTCCTCATCAAGCCCCTGTTTATTTAAAATATTAGCAGCATTGTAATCCTGATGCTCTGCACCAGCCAAAGCCACAAACAGAAGATTTTACATGTGCTGGATCACAGTCCTCCAAAGGACTAATTAATTCCCTTGATTAAAACACAGAGCAGCAGCATTATTGTATCAAAGTTAAATTTTAAAGATCATTGATCTACTTCAACAGCGTGCTCCTCCCACAGCCCATCTCACCACACAGCTCCTCCTCACCAGGCCCTTGTCTGCACTCAAAATGACTTTGTGTTCTAGTTCTAGCAGCATATATTCATATTTATGCCTATACACACACACAGGAGGCTGGAGAAGCTACATCAACACCAGTTCTCTCAGCAAATAACCTACGCTAAGAACAAATTAGTGTGATAAACTGCGCTAGGACTGGAACCAGTTTGAAAGCATCATTTTTCAACGAGTTGCAACCTGAAGCAACGTTACTAACTTGGTTTCCAGGGCAGACCCTGCCCATCTACTCGTATGATCGTTGTCCTCTAAGGACACCAGCGGAGGACAGACACCCACACAAAGCCAAAGAGAGGATTTAACCGCACCGCACAGACAGGCACGGTCTTATCTCCCACTGCTCGGCAGAAGAAAACATGTGGCAGCCAGATTTTGTTTCTGTTTCCGACCTCCTTATCAAACTACAAGTCAAAGAGTTCACCCACGTTTTTATTTCCCTGCAGACAACCTCAGAGCCGGGGGTTTCTCAGCGGGCAGAGCACCCTGCGCTGTGCGGGGGCAGACGAGGGGATGCCCCGCAGCTCCCGGGGAAGGGCCCAGGCAGCACCGGGTCCCCTCGCTCCCGCAGGAAGGGCCGGTTTTCCTCACCCAGCAGCACGCGGTTAACAACATTTGGCGTCCAGGTGCGTTGCGGGGAGGCGGGAAGGGGAGTGCGCACACCCGGTTCACCGGCAACCCCGGGGGAAGAGGAAAGGGGGGCAGCGACCTGTCCTTGGCGCACACTCGGCGGCTTCCCCC